GTGTGTGTGTGTGTGTGTGTGTGTGTGTGTGTGTGTGTGTGTTCCCTCTGAAGTCGAGCTAACTGCTACACCCCCCCTCAGGGCTCGCTTTACAGCCTTCCCTTTCTCCATCCACCTCCCAACCTCTCCTCTCAAAGTTTTACTTTTCCAGAGCCTGAAGACTCTGACACTCACAAAATCATTTGTTCAATCTAATGTTTGAACATAATAGAAAATATTAAAAACCCTAAAGACAAATGTCTTTCTTTAACTGAAGTCTTTCTTTAATTGTCCTGTGTTTTTTATCCACGTCTCTTCTCCTTCACCTCCGTCGTTAGCATCATAGATAAGCTAACTGATTGATAAAGACCTCATCAGTGTTTACCTGTATCCGTGGAAGTCGTCGATGATATTTTGAACCAGCGGAGACGTCAGAGGTTGATGGACGTGTCCAGGAGCCACAGACGCCTGCGTGTGATTGGCTCTGGGGTCCCAGGTGTAGTTCCCGTGGGCGAGGTTGCTCCCGCCCTTCTTGCGGCGAGGCATAGTCCCATGGATGGAGGTGGGCTGGTAGGCGGCGGCGGGCAACTCTGAGAGGCCCGGGCTCTGCCCCGGAGGAAAACTGGGGGAGGGGTAAGAAAAAGAAGAGGAAGAATTTGAGAAGATTTTCCTGCTTTGAAAGAAATCCTCGTCCAGATGGGATCATATCCACTTAAATCTCCTCTTAATCATTTGGTTTTATGTTTCAATCCCACAGACGTAGCTCTGAGGTAGGAGGCCGTGCTGTCCATGCTTTAGTGGAAACAAATGGAAAGATTGTTGCATCCCCTTGTTTTTATTTTTTCCTGACATTTGGTGCATTATATTTGAAAAGTTTGGGCTTTAAGTCAAGGATTAAATTATGGTTTGTGGGTTTGTTTTCAAATGTTTCTGAACTACTTCAACCACTTATTATGGAGGGGATACCGAAGAATATGATTATTTTTAATATTTGTTTTCCTGGGAACCAGCTTGTTCATCAATTTATAAGAATCTCCTCAGGCTGAGTTGGCTCCTAGAAAAGACTAAATACTGGAAAGAAATGCCAGCACAAAGTATTTAGGCTCATATGAGTCATTATCTGAGAGAGACCCAGAATTTCTCAGTCAACGCGACCATCTCACCCAGGCCTGGAGCTCAGGAGGTCCATGGAGGAGGCGAGCGAAGCCTGGAGCCTCCTGGAGGAGTAGGAGCTGCTGCTGGGGGCCCCAGGGTGGGGGGTGCCGCCCTCCAGGCTGTGATGTGCATGGAGCGACCTGGGCAGACTCGCAAAACGCCCCTCGGCCATCATCCTCAGCTCTGGAAGGAAACACAAAGATATAAATGTCTTATCTACATTATTCTGTAAAATAAAAGTTGCGTCATATCAACAAACTTGCAGATTCATGTTGGTCGATAAATCAGAGTTTATATTAATATGTATTAAAGTGATAAATACAACATGTCGGGTACTGAACTAACGTCCTCCTGGTGTCGTAACCTGACGTGCTTTCACTAACCTGGAGAGAACAGTTGTGTAACCAGGTAACACAAGACAGGAGGGTGAGACGTAACACACTCAGACACATGATGCGAAACACACAAACACACACTGACGTACACTCACATACCCTTACACATCATCATCACACTGAAATACACACATCGCCTGGGGGGAGATCAAACTTGTCATTACATAGTAGAAGTATTTTGAGCCTGGTAATGTGACACTGACTATACACAACGTTTGAATGGCTGGTGAGGGGATTCTACCAAAGATCTCAGTATTTGTCGTTTAAATACAATAAAAGTCTGCATGAAATTACCCTAAGAGTACTTAAATCTATTCATTCTGATTCCAACTGAAGATTTTCTGAACTAGTGAATGTAAAACATAAACAATCTGATATTTAACACACCTATTGTTCTGTTTTTGAAAGATTTAAAAGGAAACTATTCTGCTCAGTGGCAGAAACAACCAAGATTCTCTGCTCCTCACAATGTGGCGTCAGGACGATACAGACGGAAAATTATATAAAGAAAAGGACGTCAAACAATAGTTCAACATCTCAGAGCAAGGAAAGAACGCAAATGTCAAAGTTAGTCGCTGCCACCCGCCTGTTAAAATGTCTGGATGTACCAAAAGTGGCGTCCTGTGTATAAAATGTTCCGGCTGAAGAGAGAGAATACAGAAAGAAAACGTCTGAAGAAATCACGAGAGATCGGACGACGTTTTAAACACGTGACTGAATGAAGCGTTTGATGATTACGGCCGACGTTAGTGTCTATGTGCTGTAAACAAAATACAAAACACTGTCGGAAAATGTTCCTGTTGATGTGTCTTCAAATCTAAAGGTACGTAGAATATCTGGACTAAAGTTTTCGGACATTTTCATCTGTGAAAACTGACCAGAGATGAGTCTGAAGGACGAGAAACCACCTGAGGTCTGACTCCACCTCAGGTACAGACAGAGCATCACATCCTTCTGAGAACTGCTTTAAACACGTTACTACAACTTCATACTTTGAGTTATTGTAGACGTGGTCTAGAGACAGACAGACGGACAAGTGGGTGTGATTACACAGAGATGATCGTGACAGATAGACTGGCAGTGATGGAAAACACTGGATCGGGATCTTGATAAATTCCCCCGTGCTGCGTGGTGATGATGACTGGACGCCATCATCTGCCCTGAGTCACTCAGCAGGAGGCAGTTCGTCACCGTACAAACTAAAATAACCTGAGCTGTCAACAGATGGACGTCGGAGATTAGAGAAACTCGTCCGATATTGTTAATCTCAGAAAACTAAAGGATCCGTCGCGAGCCACTAAGCTGCTGTTTGTTGTCGTGTCTCCGTCTGAAGAAACCTGATTATGATCGGAGACAGTAGCTGCAAGTTAAACTGGGGCTCGACGCTGCAGATGAAGTCCGACAGTTCTGCTGTTTTAAGTTAAAAAGTATTTTTGTTTTCGTTGTAAAACTAAAATTATCACCATCCAAACTACAGCTTTAAAATAAATTGACATATTGCACGTGTGTGCAGTATATTAGGTATCAGACTTTACTCTGTAGTTGTTCTTTACAGAAAATATTACAAATGAGAAATAACAATGATGGAAAAATAAGAGCAGGTATTTATTTTCTTGGACCAACGACGAGGTGGAACTGTGGGTGTTTAAAATGAGTTGATTCCACCACAGTCGAGTCGAGACGAATCAGGAATCTAACGTGTGACTTCATCGCTGTTTCCAAACGTTTTGCAGATCAAGATTAAAACGTAAAAATTACTTTTCAGCTGCGTTTTTAAACTTGTCAGTTTCCATCTCTGAGAAAAATAAACGTTATCGGCTTTGACTAACGTGGATGAGAGATTACAACACTTTCAATAACAGCTCCAGCTCGTCGTCTGTTCAAGTTAATCCCTCATTTCACTGTGAAGCTGCAAACTGCAGAGAGGATCTGATCCCTGTTTACAAACACGACCATTGTTAATGAGAATAAAGATGATTTACTCCAGGTTCTTATCTGAAACCTTTTTAAAATGAGAAGCACATCTGTGTGAACGTCTCCCACAATGAAACTAAACCCGACTGCTACAGGAGACCAGAGAGCTTCTGATGATGAATGTCAATAAAAATGCAAATGCTTTAGAGAAAGGAACAGCTGGCCAAGTCAATACACACACACACACACACACACACACACACACACACACACACACACACACACACACACACGCACAGACACACACACTGTAAAAGTCCTGCTAAGGCATGTTAGGTCAGAGTGGGGATTCTTCTGAGAGGCTGAACGACAACAGGAGAAAGACCTATTATGAGACCTTCAGGGATGGTCATCTGTGTGTGTGTGTGTGTGTGTGTGTGTGTGTGTGTGTGTGTGTGTGTGTGTGTGTGAGTGTGTGAGTGTGTGTGTGTCCCTGACCATCTGCCAGACACACACACGCCTTCCTGCAGAGGAGAAAGGCTCGACTCTCCCCGGGTGCAGACAGCACTTACGCACATGAATACTCTGTCAATTAATCTTATAAATAAACGATTCGCGCTGAGAGCAACAGGAAGTTATTTCTACAGGGAGCGAAGGTGTGAGAAATCTCACTCTCCTTCCATCTCTCTTTTCCTTCTTCACCCTCTCCATCCATCCCTCCCTCCGCTCTATTCACTTCACCTTCTGCCTTATTTCAGTCGTTCTGTCCTCTTGACTCCCAACACATCCATCTTTCCTCAGAGACATCCCCTCCCTCCGTCTGTCCACCATGATGTAAGCACTTCTTTTGCTTCCTCACTCTGTCTCCTTTGTCTTTCTCCCTCTTTCTTCCTCGCCGGCCTTGTTCTCTCCTCCCTACAGCTGTTCAGTGCCCAGTCACTTCTTCCTGCACGTCACGCTCTCATGAAACTATTCTTATCGGGACATTGCTCCGCGCCTCCCTTCATCGTGGACAGACAAACTTTTATTTAAAGTCAATTCATGTCTAAAAACCTAAACCATGCCTCATGAGGTTTATACTGAAAAAGCTCCGATCAGGTCATAAAAATACGTTGCTAACAGATATGCAGTCAACGAGTGATCCCATGTGAGAAACAAATCCACAGCGAGTGAGTGGGCGAGGATTTAAATTCGCAGCGGACGTGAAAGTGGAACGTAGAGGACAAGTAAGTCAACTTAAAGATTCTAGAGCTTTTTTCTTATGAGAGCTGAGTTCCACAGCAGGATTTATACGTCCTGTCTGAAAACAGCATTTCTGGACATTATCACACATGCATCATTTACAAATAATAGCCTCACTTTAAAAAGCCTGGCGTAAATAATGCGTGTACGCATGGTTACAGTTAAATATAACCTCCACCCCCCCCCCCACACTGATCCAGGCTGTTGACTGTGCGTCTCCTTCTCTGCAGCTCTATTATTGAATAAACTCCTGCAAGTAAACCAAATATTATTTTTCCTTGTGGTCTAAAAGACAAAATACTTTGAAATGAGGTCGACTTTGTCACCGACACTAGTGAAGACCTTGGGATGAGAACACACACACACACACACACACACACACACGAGGTATTGGGTGGGAAACGATTAACAGGAAGAGGAAGTGGCAGTGTAAACATTTAGACTGCAGGCCGCTCATTAGAACGGATCAGCCGCAATAAAACAAACTCTCTTCTCTTCCCTTCGCTCTTTCACTCTCTCCTCAGCTCTCGTTTTGTCTCATGGGCTGAGGACACAACTCGATTTAATCATATGAGAGTCAGTTGAATTGAATTTAATGTTTTGTTGTCTCTCGTCTTTCTCTCCGGAGAAGCAGGAGTCAGGAAGCTTTGTTGTTAATCCTCTGAATGTAGTAGTTTTAAAAATCATTGCACGGGAACGTAACAGCATCAGATATTCAGGTTTGGATGAAGATTTAATAATAAACACTAAATAATAATTTAGACTGGTCTCTCAGAACACACACACACACGCACACACACACACACACACACACACACACACACACACACAATAGGGAGTAGGAACACAAACATCATCATGCTTGGGAATGAGGGTTTTCCTCTTGCTGGCTTAAAGTGTCTTCCTGCTAAGGCATGCAAACACACACACACACACACACACACTCTCACGAATACACACTCACACACCAATACACACTCACACACACACTAGTGCATTAGCAAAACCACCCCTGGTCAGAAGTGAACAATGGGAACAACTGTCACATGACCACAGTTTAGAGCCGGCCTTTGTTGGTCGGAGAGAGAGAGAGAAGTGTCCTACTGCGCTCTTCAGTGCGTGGGGCCGCCAGTGTGTGTGTGTGTGTGTGTGTGTGTGTGTGTGTGTGTGTGGGTGTGTGTGTGTGTGTGAAGTATGTGTGCAACATATTAATGAGGCTGTTATTAAATCCCACAGCGGTGTCTGCCATTTAATATATAGAATCTCCGTCCCTCTCTTTCTCTCTCTCTCTCTCTCCAGCCTTCACTCAAAGTCTACCCTCAGTGTGTGTCTGTGTGTGTGTTTGTGTGTGTAGACACAGACAGTGTGTTGTCTGTGGACACTCACTGATCACAGTCGGTCGGTGCGTCAGTGGCACATGAGATCTTATCTTAAAATAAAAGCAATGACACATTATAAGTCCTGATTCTGTATCTCACAGTCTCACCTGTGACCTCATCTATCATTGTCTTTGTGTTTTCACTAATTTCTCACTAACGTCAGTGAAATGCTTCGTGTGAAGGTCTGTACTAACTTATATATGATATATTGATGTAACCTAGGAGACAACAAGTCATTCTTCATGTCTAACAT